CCAAAGTCGAGCCCTGTGAGCGTGTATCAATTCATCCTCGTGGAAAGGTTCATTAATTATTATTATTATTATTATTTTTATTAAATTATTATTATTATTTATTAGTATGTTGTGTGATTTGTCATGCAGACAGTATCGCAACTCGTATATCACCGACTAGATGATGAGTCGTCGCGCATGTTCGAGCGCCTGCCTCAGTTATTGCACCGTCTTCAGGTGTGATATTTTATTTTGACCAACTTTTTTATAATAATTTTCTCTCTTTTTTTCTTTATAACTTAATTCGTGTGATTTCAATTGTTCTTGTCCTATCTATCTTAGGTATTTCTTGGAGGCAGAGCTGCTGAGGAGGTCATTTTCGGGCACGACACTTCAGAAGTATCCGTCACTTACCTTGCCGATGCATCGTGGCTTGCCCGAAAGATTATCACTGTGTAGGCTTTTTATTGCTATGGAATATTTCAGTATTAGTATTATTATTATTATTATTATTATTATTATTATTATTATTATTATTATTATTATTGATTTTTTGTGGTAGGTATAATTTGGAGAACCCGATGGTAGTGCACGGGGAACGCCCTCCATGGAGAAAGAGGATAAGTTTTTTGGGACCTAAAGTGGACTTTGAGGGTTCTCTTTACGCGAGCCATGGCCTGTGTGAACCTCCCATCAACTTCAAACTGGATGATGACATTGCAAGGAGGACGGAAGAGCTCATGCACGATATGTACAGCAAAACACTTAATCTGCTTAGACAACATAATGCTGCTTTGCTCAAGTCTGTAAAGGTATGGTGTCACTTCTCTTTTTCATACCAAATCACCTTCTCTTTATATTTTGTTGGTTACAACTTACAAGTTTTATATATATATATATATATATATATATATATATAAGAGACCATATGAGAACTCGAACTGAATGTATTGTACCTGAACTTCAGGTTCTTCTTGACCGGAAAGAGATTAGTGGGTACGACATTGATTATATCCTTGATAAGTATCCTCCACAAACTCCCACAAGCACCGTTTTGGAGGAAAGAAATCCGGGCAGCCTTCCAATCTTCGAACAGGAACAAACTCAGGGTGATGAATTGGGTTATTCCCTTTTGACTTCATGATAGTCGCATCCGGAATCAGAAAAATGGGAAGCACTTTTAGAAGATTATTGGGATTGAACTTTGAATGCGCTGGATGAGCTCATGAATGCATGTTGGGAGGTGGTTTTTTGCAGGCAGGCATTTGGGAAAAGGGTCTCCGGTTTGTTTTGTCTGTAGTTTTTCTCCAACAGGATATACGTCGGTCTTCCTATACTGAGTTCTACCTATTTTGAGTACTTGAGGTTTTCAATAAGATTAGAGCTTTTGAGGGAAAAAATGAAAAATTATGTGTTCTTGCCAAAATTATGAGGTTAATATCATATTCCATATTTGTTCACATGTATTTTTAATTTTTAGAATTGAACTAAACTAATATCTATATCTATATCTATATATACCTATATCTATATAATAGATCAATCTATTTTACTATATTTGTCATAAATTTCTCGCCTAAAAATTTCAATCAAATTTGGCAATGACTATTAGATATTAATTCATTAAATAAAATCTAAATTGGTTAGTTCATTAACGAATTTGAGAATATTTAAACTAATTATTGTTTGAATCAAAATTTGGTCTCAAAGATTTTTATTAATTATTTTAATAACATTTTCAAAAATAATAAATCTATTATTACCAATTTTGTTTTGATGGTTGGGTGTATATATATACATACAGAGAGAGAGAGAGAAGAGATCATATGACCATGAAGCATAATGAAAAAAATAAAAATAAATACGTATCATTTGATTTGTCAAGACAACCGTGATGATTCAGTCAAATTTTAATAAGTGACAATAATGTAAATAAATGGACATATCATGGTCAAATTTATAAATTTGACCACCCATTAAGAATATTCTAGTCATTTTAACCCACAACCACATGGTCCCACACCACCCACTATCAATTCACTCTCACACACTTCTGCACTCACACACACACACACACACACACACAGAGTTGCACGCACACAGGCCATCCTCAGCCAACATCTCCGCCGCCCGCTGTCAGCCCGCCACCAACCACCACAACCGTCCATTCTCTCCAGAGGTTCGTGGTCCACAGCAGAGCGCCCACCGAAGCCCTAGCCATCTCAGCTGCCGCCGATCACCGTGTCCAGAAGTCTGACAGGACCATCTCAGTTGTTGTCCCGTTCACTATCATCCTCTATGGCTGTCGGCCCCCACTGCCTAAGCTCGTCGCCGGAATTTATATATTCCACGAAATCGCCGAAATTTTGTGCTATATAAAGAAGACTTAGGGGTTAGGACTTGAGTGGCGACATGACGGCGCGACTGTGGCTGTGGCGACGGCGGAGGACCGGTGGGACTGTGGCGGACAGAATCGGCGTCGCCAGTGGCTGGTTGGGGGCTGGAAATATTTTTATGGATTGGGGACTATTGATTGAAAATTTGACAAGTTTCGGGGACCTATATGCAATTTCATAACTTTTAATACATTGTAATTTAGTACTTGAGGCAAATCTATATTTTATTTAAAATTTTATACAATAAAATGCACAATAATGTGCAGTCTGACATACATCAATGTGCAATGCGTCTAACACTATTGTGCACAGTTTCGTTCACTATTGTGCAATTTGAACCTGCTGAACTTTTGTCCCAAACCAATTTAACTCCGAACCGAAATAATTTGTTTATTTGATCGGTTAATCGAAGTAACCAAAATAAATTAATTAAAATATTATCTATAACATAAATCTTATAGAGTAGTCTAATATTTGTATCTAACATTTACATTTTTTTTGTTAAAAAAATAATATTTTTATATAAAAAATAAAAAAAGAAAATATTTTTATATAGTTTGGTCGGTCCGATTATTTCAGTTATTTTTAATCTATTAGTTGAAATATTTATCAAGTTTTTAAAATCTTGACCATCTTTAAACTATGTTATTCCGTTCATCAATCAATCAAAGCATTAATATATTTATCTTAAAAAATCTAAAACTTGAATCATTAAAATGTAAAATACACTGCTTGAACAAACTTAGTTAAACTTTTATTGCTAAAAAATGGATGGAACATTTACTTAATAAATTAATTTATTTCATTGAATCACACGATTTATGTACCATATTGAAAATATTATACGTTGTTTTTTTAATGTTAAAACATATATCATTGCACCTATGAATATATTTATATCTATATCTATTAATATAAAAAGGGACTAAAGACTTACCTTAAATAGTGAAAAAAAATTCTAACCTAAAATTTAATATTTCACTAAGTATAGGAATTCTAAAATATTTTTAATTTTTCCGCCTTTAAAATCTGATAAGTAAATTTCAAAAATAATTGTAAATTCAAAAACTGATAATATTTGATAATAATACTAATTTTAAAATATGATAATAAAATTTGCAGCACATCTGTTAGTGTATCTATTTAGAAAGAAAATGATAAATATAATGTACACCATATACGTAAACATATATGTCATTTTTTTTTAAATTCATAATATATCCACGTAAATTATAAATTTCTTCAATTCCATGAGGATGTGAAGGTTTATTTTATTTTATTTTTTTTATTATTATTTTTTTTTTCCTTTTGAAAACCTGCAACATATACTGGAAATTATGAGTTGTCCATATTACATGTAGACATAATTTTTTTTATTGAGAAATTGCTACATGATAATTTTTAATTTGTCCTATGTATGTGCGTCATATCTTTATGTTCAACGTACACATATTTCGATTTTGATTAATCTATACAATATTTTAGCCTTCGGTGATATTACAAATCCATGTAGAGAATTTTTCAAGTGAAAATTAACGTAACAAAGAATAAGATATGTTTTTCGAAATATTTTCTCAAAATTATACAATATTTATTAATCAATTACCTCACAAATTTATAAAACAGATGCAGACAATCACTTGCTTTTTTGAGATACATCATACAATAATATTTCAAATTAATTGAAATTTAGTATTCTTAAGATGTGATTAAAAAAATTGAATACAGAATCTCATTAATACATTTTTTACATTAGTTTTATCTAATTGATAAAATTGGTATATTTAACACTTACGACAATCAATAAATGGGTAAATGAATGAGGAACTTGAAGTAGGGAATACTTTTCATTTTTTGTGATCTCATAATAATAATAATAATAATAATAATAATAATAATAATAATAATAATAATAATAAAGTATACATACTAATATTTTATGTGTATACCTTGAAAGGATACGTAGAAAATCACCTTGAAATCTGTACTAAATTTATTCAACTGCTTAATATGTTCGTTTAGTCCGATATTTAATTTTTAAAAATAACTTTATATGAACTTTTAATTCAACATTTAATTTTAAAAAATAACTTTCATATGTTTGTTTAGTCCAACATTTAACTCAAAAAAATAATTTAATATAATTTTCTCATGCATTTTAGGAGATATTAGTTAAGTACAATACATTTGTGTGAGTAAAGAGTGATTGTTTATCAATTCATCTAGAAATTAATTGGTTTTTTTTAACTATAGTTACTTTTAAAAAAGTTAGTATGGTTAGTTGTTAGTGGATATGTTAAAATAATATTTAAAATAAAATAATTAAAGTTGATATGATGTAAAAGTAAAAGAAAAATGATTGGAAGTAGTGGTTAGTTAAAATTATGTGAGTGGATGAATAGTGGATTAAAATTGATGTGATGTGTAAGAATGATTGTTTGGTATTAATTAATTATATTGGTAATAATGGAGATAGTGGAGTTGGGTTAAAATTGAGTTAAATTTGAGTTTTGATTGGTTTTTTTTGAATTGGGTTGATAAACAATCACACCCTGAAGAGTGAGGAGAAAAAAAGAATGTAAGAACTAACAAAGAGTCAAAGAAGATGAAATAGGGATTGAGGATTTAATGGCAAAAATCCGTCACTTTAAGTGGACAAAAATTTTAGAGTGGGTCAATGGAACCAAATTTGCATAATAATAACTTTTATGGTGCAAGTTTATTTTGTTGCCATCATAATCGCAAAAATGGCATTCTTATTGTGTAATCATATTTGCAATTTGACCCGATTTTCAGTTTCCAGTAATCCCTCCGTTCTTGCTCTCCGTCTGCAATGAATTCTGGTTGCCAAAACCCAACCGTGTATTTTTGTCCATCTCGTCATCCCCTTCAAAAGATTCTCAGCATAACGCAAAAATTCCTGTTCTGGTTAGGGTTTTCATTAAAACCCCCATTTTCTCTACCGGAAAGGAGGGGCTGAGAATTGTGAAAACAAAGGGTTTTTGCTGCCTTTTTTTTTTGTCCTAAATTAATTTCATGAACTGCAAGAGCTCTCTCTATAGATTCTGTCCTGACCTTTCATGACCTGCAAATGGATTTTCCTAATTCAAGCGTGTTATTTGCGGGCGGCAAATCTTCGTTCTTGGTAGCCCTGGCAGCATCCATTTCCTGTTTCTTTTTCGCGGGTGCTGTTGTTTTCCGGATAGGGAAATCAGTGAAAAACTCTGAATCAAAAAATGGAATTCCCCGTCAGTGTGAGGAAATGGCTCTGAGATTAAATGGCGGGGCGGAGGAGAGCCAGGCGGGGATGTCGATGATGGAACAGTTGGTGCCGGAGATCACATCTTATGCCCTCACTTATTTGGATTATCAGAGCCTCTGCTGCCTCGCGATCACAAGTTCGTTCATGAGGAAAGCCGCCAATGATGACAATGCTTGGAAGGCAGTCTACCTTAAGGTAAACGGTTTCACCAAAATTTTAATTAACAATGTTTTGTATTTATGGGTTTGTTGGTTTAATGTGATGTGATACTTTGGGTTGCGTATTTGCATTTGAGGTATGATATGTTAGCTGCCTCTGTTAAATGTAGAGTTGTTGGATATGTTTGTTTCCTTGTCAAGCTAAATTGTTGATTTACTAGATATGGTACAGACAATATAGATTGCCATTTTCCTGTTTCGCACGAAATCAGTATTTGGTACTTGTGTTAAGAAAGTGGGAAGGTCTGCAAATGCCAGTTATTTTGAACTGAGAAAAACAAAGGATACGAGAGTGCAGATTAATGTGTTGTGAAGTGGAAACCTCCAAAACATGTGGAATTGTATTAAATGATTTATTACAAGGCTTTGGAGTACGAACGTGTCTAGAGTCGAATGGTTGCTTTGTTTTTACGTGCTTATATATACGTTTGAATTAAGATATTTGAATTTGGTCAGTTAGCTGATATATACGTTTGAATGAATCATACAGCCAATTGAATGAGTACGAAAGTGCATTAAGATATTTGAATTTGGTCAGTTAGCTGATATATACGTTTGAATTTATCACGTGCTTATACTTGTTCGTTTTTTGCGGCTAAAGCAGTTGACACATGATAACATCAGATTAAGATTGTGAAAGACTTCCCGAATTTCCTTTCTCTTTTCCTGAAATCCTTTTACCACTTGAATATAATTCAGATTGCTGTTCATGTTTGATCTTTTTGTCATGCATTTGAATGCAGTGCGTCAAATGTTAGTGGTTCTCAAGTGTATTAACCGGTTGCCTAATTCACACAAGTAGGTGTCATTGGAGAGTGTTTGCATGATCTTTAATAGGGAAATTTTATTATTACTAAACTCCAATTGATGTATTATCTGGAAAATAGTAAGTGTTCTTTTTAAGCATTCCATGGTTGTAGTCTTCCTTATTGGGGAATGCTTTTGTAGTGATATGATAAGCATCTCAACTGTTACCATTAGTGTTGTTAGTAATTTATTACCAATAGCATTTCGACTTTGTCCTAGTTCTAAAAGCATGCATGAATTGAGATTCTCAGCAGCAGAGTTAGCAGGCTGGTATACTTTTATGTGCTTTATTCTTTGACGACCCTCTCTCCCCACATCCCCTTAAAACCTTCATGCTGTCTTCTTTCTATCTTAGCCACAATAGTTTTCAGATTTTCCAGCGCATCTCTCTCTCTCATGCTCTTCTTCTTTTTTTCTTAGCCATAATACTTCGGCTATGTTTGGTAAAACTAGCTCATAAGCTAGCTTATAGCTTATCAGTAATTTTTGAGCTTATAGCTTATAGTTGAAAAGCTAGCTTATATGGTAAAAGTGTTTGTAAAACTAGCTGAAATAAAAATTTCAACGAGCTTATTTGAAAAGCTACCAAAGAAGCTTATGAAATAAGCTCGAGCTTTTTAAATAAGCTCGTCCTACCAAACGAAGCTTATTTAAATACAGGAAGCTTATAAGCTAATCAAATAAGCTATAAACTAGCTTATTTGTCTACCAAACATAGCCTTCAATTTCTTCTCCTTGAACCGTGTATTACATCAGAAGAATATGATTGCATTCTCTTTATAAAAAGTGTTTCTTTTATGTTCATGTTATTTTTAGTTGAACTAGACTATTTTAAATCAGTCATGTCTTGTTTGAGACAGTAAAAGTGCTAATTTGCTTTTTATTCAATTAATTAGGACTTCACCTTGGAGCAGGAAAGTATAAGCCCACCCCAATGGATGGAAAGCTTATTATGCGGCTACAAAAGCTATTGTTAACATCAATAATGAGTTTTTTAGGATTATCAGGGAAAGGTCACTTCAGGCTATGGGTCAGTTTTGGCTTAATGCAGATTATGTAAAGTGTATTCATGCAAGTGCAGATTCATTCAGTGGGTATGCTTCTTCAAATCTGTGAATGGAACTATTTCGACTTATGCCGACTACTAATTAATTGTTTATCTTATACGCGTATAAATTTTTACTATTGCTTAATGCCCTCTTGGCTTGTTCTGATTTTCTTATCACAAATTCCGATAGAATTAATATTTATCAATGCCACATGTATGTTACTGTTTCTTCATAGTTTAATGAAAGCTATGAAGTAGGTGAGTTGATACACTGGATTCGTGTTTTTCATTTTTGCTTCTTTTCTTTTCTTCAACAAACAACTGTAATTTTTTTCCTTCATATTGTCCCAAGACTCTTTTTTTATGAGTTCAACTTCCTTAGCTTCTCATTTTCCCTACATTTTTCTTGGACTCTGTTTACAGTTACAATGAAGTTATAGAGAGTTGGCAGGTAGTTTTGAGGTGGGAGCATGTGGCTAATTTCCAGGTTGGAAAAGTGCGGATTCGCGTGTTATCAGATGTGGCGTGGGTTACCATGTCAGTCTACATCGACTTTGCACCCGGCCCATTTAACGTGACTAACGTGTATGAGTTTCATAATGGGAGATGGTGCATGGTGCACCATCACACCACTGCATTGCTCATTCATGGTGGAGGTTAAGTGTGACAACCGAGGCAAGGCTAACGAGATTGATGCGAATGTGATATAAATAATTGAAACATGAAAGTGGTACAACTTTTTTTTTTTTTTTTCAAATAGTTTTATTTTTTCTTTTTTCTTTGGCTAGAAGTGACTTGTGGGAATTTATAAGGTACTCTCTCTAGGTTGGGTCTCAGAGCATCTACAATGCATTGGGTCTAGTCTTGCCTATGTGGCATGTAAATAAACCCAAGTCTTGGATGACATGGATAAAATTATGTATAATTAACAAAATCTACTCCAATGCAAAGAGACTAGGTTTGTACTTGGGTCTAAAATAGACTTAAGGGTAGACCAGGTCTCTTTTTCTGGCTGCCACATCAGTAGAACTTAGTCTACATTTATTTGCATTGGAGAATATTTTTTTTCAGATTGGGTCTATTTATTATGTGTCATATGCTTTTTTGTGATTGAACTCAAAGCATTGTGGATGCTCTCAAGAATTGACTGTCCTTTTTGAACCTAAAGCCTTTGAGGGTTCATATATGGTAAAGCATAGGCAGAATCAGAATTGAAATTTTAGTTCTTAAGCTGATTTGGTGATGAGTACTTCTTAAAATAGTAACTAAAGTTTCGTCTGGATTTGCTGAATTTGAAAAGAAAAATGTTTTTTTTTTTTTAATAATCCCGCTTTTGTTTGCATTTGAAATTCAGAAACTCAAATATTTCTNTTATAAGGTACGATTTTGGTTAAAAACACGTATGATTGATTCACTCTAATTCACATGATGGACTAAATAATATCAAAACCTAAACAAACTAAAAACTTCAAGAGGAGATCACTAATTAGTAATTACATGTCCTTTCAAGAAGGCTAATAAATTATGTTGTGGGAATGAATCAATATTAACAAGTAAGTTACTTCCTCAGAGGTTAAGGCAGAAAACACTCCATTGCAAGCACACAAAATTAGAAAAGAAAACAAGTCTCGTGTATCCATTGCAAGCAAATTTACTCAGATTGCATACATGCACTGCTTAAAATGTGAAAACAAACAATAGAAAAAAAACGAGAGAGCATGACAAAAAATGATTTACATATGGCAAATTAAAATTCCTTTATCACACCGTATGCCCATTCTGCCATTCATAATTTCCGATTGAATGTGGGAGACGAGACCTTTACGTGTTTTATGCGATGGTAAGATGGTAATAACACGTAAATGAAAAATAAGCTGATACGGTATTACACTAGTAGGGCCGGATTTGTATTAACATTTATGGGTGACCATTTCGTTTTAACAGGCTTGGACTGCCCAGGCCCAACTCGGATCTAGGACCCCTCCTAAAGAAAATAAAATCTACTGTTGATTCTCAGACAGACTAGCGGAGTCATATGTTACACGACAAGCTTGCTCAGTTTGAATCCTGACATGGGCCCAGACCTTGAACCTGCCCGGATTTGTGCGGATTTCGGGCCGGGTGACCCGTGGCCATGTATTAGAAAGGTACAATTCCCTCCCTCAAAAGCTGTTCCTCAATTTCCACCACTGTATGTATTCATTCCCATCCAAGTACTCAAAGATTCCCCTAACCCTCGAATTTAACCGCTAAAAGCTCAACAATTTCTGACGAGCAGCCAACGGGCTAAAGGATCCGGCGAGTGAAAAATGGACCTAGAAACCCGCACTAAAATCGAACAGACAGTTTTGGGAATCCTGACGAATTCGAATATGGATGAGACAACAGAGTACAAGATCCGGAAATCAGCATCCGAGAAGCTGGGCATGGACCTTTCCGAACCCACCCGGAAGAAATTCGTCAGGGAGATTGTCGAAGCCTACCTTAGGGCACAACAGGCCGAAGCAGAGGAAGAGGAAGCCAAAGAGGAGGATAACAACGAAAACAAAGGCGGTAGAGAGTATGACGATGAGGGCGGGCTCATTATTTGCCGCGTGAGTTTTGCAGTACTTTTTTATTATACTCGGAACGCAGTTTTGTTTTGGTATAGAACTGACTTTCTTGTTCAAAATGATGGATTAAACTGTTTGCGGTGTTTATCGTTCAACGTTGTATAGAATTTTAGACTACTAATTGTTGGCGTTTGAGGTAAATAAGTGGTATTCTTGCAGCTGTGTGTTTGGATGGTAATTGAAGCTAAGTTCGGGTAATCTGGTCAGATTTTGTTTTTATTGTTCCTCTAAAATTTTTTATGCTGAGTCATTTTCTCTTTTCTGTTTGTTTAGTTATCGGATAAGAGAAGGGTGACGTTATCTGAGTTCAGGGGGAAGACTTTGGTATCAATTAGGGAGTATTACAAGAGAGATGGCAAAGAGCTTCCAACAGCCAAAGGTAATTGTTTTTTGGTAAATTTAACGTTTTATATATACTGAGTTTCTGTTGATTTGTTAACACTTTGTTCATCCCGGATCTCTGTGTATGTGCGCACGTGTGTGTGTTAAGTCCAGATCCATATTCTATTATATTTGTCCTCTGTGAACATGTTTAGCTCACTCATACAGGTGAATGAGACTTAAACTATTGCATGACTTGCTTAAGTGGCAAGGGCTCGCTTAAACCTCAAATTAGTTTTGAAACTGATCTTTCAAGTTGACGTTCATGGAATATACTCACAGTATTTTCCTGCCTTCAAATAATTATTATTATTATTTTTTTCTTTTGAATCTCCAGGGGAATCTAAGATTTTTAAATTACCATATGAATGCAAAACGCTGCATGCAAGTTGAATTCGGTCGCATGAAGTCTATGGATCAAAACAATTCGAACGTTGCTCTAATGTTGCTCAAATGTTGATATTCTACCTCATTATGCATGTTGTATCTTATTGCAGATAATGCAGCTGTAATCCTAATTTGCTAAATTGAAATTTATAAATTTTGGGGGGCTTTAACATATATATGCTTTGTTAGTTCTTTTTTGTTTTGTGTTTTAAAAAGAAATGTAGGCTCTATAATCATATAATTACTCATTCTGGTGATCTAGTAATGTTGACTGGTCAGATTTAGAAGTTTTCTTCTATTAATTCACTATTTCATTTACAACTTGGATCAGAAATCAGCCATGGATGTGGTTAAATTGCAAAAGACTAGGGCAACATAAATCCAGAGGGGACAAATTAATAATGAAAAAGTTACCCATGAAGTTGTTATGTGAAACTGTGTTGTCAAATGAGGGGACACCTTTTTTTTTTAATCAAAAACATTTTTGTACTGTTGATCTTGTTCTGGTGGCCTTGTTAATTACACCGACTTAAGTATACCTTGGGATGTCAACTGGAAGAAGTCCAATAGTGTCAGTTTTAGAACCAAACTCACCCACTATATATTTGGGAGAGTTGGTTCATTGCCATCAAAAGAATGTCATATCTCTATATCCTAGACATAATAAGCATTCAGTGATTCAGTTGCCCTGCCTTGTCATGAAAACGTTATTTTGTAAACGATTTTGGTTACTTAAACCTAATTGTAGTTATTATCAGTTCGTAATAACCTGCACTAGCTGAGGTCTTTATCTTGTATATGTAAAAGAAGTGGACTTGATATTAGTTAGTAACCGTTTCACAGTTTTTCATCCATCTTCATGCTTTGATCTCTCAAATGAATCGTATATTATAAACTTGCAGGTATAAGTTTGTCAACTGAACAATGGATGTCATTCAAGAAGAATGTGCCCGAAATCGAGAAGGCCATCAAGAAAATGGAATCTAGGTGAAGATTAATACGGCTTTCTAACTTGAAGGAGACTCATTTTGTGATTGGTCCTGCAAATGGTTAAGACCTGTTCTGATCTTGTTCTGGGATGGTTTTGGATACTGGTCACTCAGAAGTGCTTCTACATTTGACGCTGATATAGAAAATAAATCAGTGTTCTTATTTTGCTCATGTATCCCTCTTGAACATGACATCATTTCCTTATTTGTGGCATATCTTTAATTTGGAATTTCCGCGTAAATGAATCTTGGACTTGTATTTCTCCTGCTTTTATTCCTTCTTTATCCCTTTTGTATTGATGTTTTTAATGGTTATGTTAAGGCGACTCTTGTGATGATTAATCGAATTTGGGCATCATCTAATAAGAGTCATGTGCATTAGTGTCTTGACCTCAATATCAAGCTTATTGTCCAACAGATCAGCCTTCATCTTTTTAGGGTAGGTTTGGATGCATAGATCGAGTCTGATATCACTTGAGTTTGTATTATTTCTATAAGTTTAATGTGTTTGGTTCATTCAAGTTAGCCATTCAAATGGGGCACCACATACCAGCCTTTATAAGGGATACAATATCCCACTTGAAATGGGATTTTTTGTAATTTACTAAACTGCTCTTACATAAAAGAGTAGATATCATCACTTCATCAGTTTTTTCATTTCACCCATGATAGCGACGAGATCGCCCTCGCCTATTTGGCGAAATTCGATCCCCTTCATCTTTAGAATGCTATTTATTTATTACTATACTTATTTATCTTATTTCTTTGGTGGTTTTATTTAAATTAGGAATTAATTGTGTCTTGTTTAGTAAGACTAGGGTTTGGGGACTCTTTATATATTGTGATCTTTTGAGTTTTGAAGCAAACATCGTATGAGACTTTTATCAGATTTGAGAGTTTTTTCTCTTCTCATTTTTGTTTTTACGCTTCCGTCTACATCAGTTTGTATTCGAGACCAGGACGTTCCTCATGCCGCCGAGAAGAGACTCCGCTGATGATCGACACGACGCTGCAATCGAGAGCTTGAATTGCCAAGTCGAGGGTTTTGGCAGGCAATTTCAAGCGATTGGGCGTGAGATGGCGGATCTTACGGCGAGCATGGAAGACATACGGTTAGCTCTCCAGACGATGATGGATCGTGACCAAACAAACTGCGATGGACTCGGGGGTCGAGCCGGCGGTCGCGAAGGGAATCGTGGGGGCCGCAGGGGTCGCGGCCGCGCCGGGGCTGTGGGTGGATGGTCGCCGCAGCTGGAGTATGATGTGGATTCTGCGCAACGGTGGAGGATGTCAACCCGTTCGGGTTTGACGACCAGCAGGAGATTGATGGCGCACGGGAAGACCGATGCTGGGAGGGCTCTTTTCGAATCGATATTCCCGAGTTCACAGGGGGGCTCGATGCTGCGGACTTCCTCGATTGGCTCGTGGCGGTCGGTGCTGGAATTCAAGGAGGTGCCGGACGAGCAAAAGGTGGGGATCGTCATGACGCGGCTGAGGGGCCGTGCAGCGGCCTGGTAGTAGCAGCTCAAATGATCTCAACATCGTAGGGTAAGATCAAAATTACGACTTGGCCCAAGACTTTTCCCCTTTGGGAATTTCTATCTTTTATGCTTTGTGTGCGGCAGCAGTGGCGATTTGGTGTGGCTCCAGGTGTCTTCTGCCTTTTGCTTTCTAGTTGACTTTGTTTCAGGTTTTCTTGGGTCACCGGCTCCTTTGTACTGCAGTGGAGCTGGGTTGTGGTCTGTTTCTGGGGGCCGGGAGGAGCGTCTGTGGGTTGCACCGATGGTTTCGGTGTGCCTGGAGCATTGTTGTCGATCTTGAGCCCTTTTCCCCGGATCTCTGGTGTTGAGTCCGAGGAAGGACCGGTGTTCCGGAACTGGCTAGTGGTGTTAGCCGAATTCTAGACGGCGGTGGCTTGTGGGTCAATTTCGGTTTCTTTCGGTTCAAGAGCGGGTTGGCTTTCGGTTTCGTTTGGGGACTGGGACTACATCTTGCTAGGCAGTTGGCAGTGGCGGGTGTGACCCTCGATCTTCGGACTTCCCCTTGGAGCCGACTTCCGTCCACTGGTTCAGTTCGGTCTCTTTGCTGAGGGAAGGCTCGTTTTAGTTTTTGTTTTCTTAGTCTTTTGTTTGCTGATTTGTCTTCGTTCGTTTTGTGTCGTTGGTGCTTGCGTTGTTTAGGACTTGTGTTTTAGGTCTGGGTCGTTGACCTCTGTACATCTGAGTGTGAACTTATTATCCTGTTGGAATCGTACACTCGGGCATTACCTTGTCGGGGTCTTTTTTAGATTGTGTGTTTTTTGTGTTGTGTTTGAGTTTTACCCTGCTGGGATCGGTTCTTGGCGGTCTTTGATCTGTCTTTCCAGTTTATTCAGCCGTTGGCTGCTGTATTCAGCTAGTGGCTGTTCTTTTGCACATTTGTGCGCTTTTATCTAATATCTCTATCGTTTCGAAAAAAATAAAGAAAAAAATGTTTCAATTTTCAAAGTCTCAATTTAACGGTCTATCAATGAATTTGTCTTAACATTTATTTTTTCTATTTATATTTTAAAATTTTCAATTATTTTCAATTTTATCCTTCTCAAATTATATTATATCGTTTTAAGTACAAAAAATAAACAGATAACTTAATACAATGATATGATAGGGGCTAATTATATATTTACTCAACGAATTGAGGTTAATTGCAATCATACGAGAGGATAATTTTTTATTGCATAATTGCCAAATGCATGGCATTTATTAGTGATAATGCAGCATATCAGTTACCAAATAAAAAAGATAATCCTTCCTTAATTCACGGACATAATGAGATTTCATTTTTTTCGCATTAAAAAAAAAAGATATGGTAAATGTATATCTTGAATTTTAAACTTTATCATCTTCTAACGATACATAAAGCACCGCGATCAGGAATATCAT